CACTTTCAATCCACTCCTTTCTCTCTCTCTCTCTCTCTCTCTCTCTCTCTCTCTCTCTCTCTCTCTCTCTCTGTTCTCTTCTCTCTTTCTCTTCGTCTGTTTTTTATCTTTTATCTACCGCCTACTTGACTATGCCGTTCTTTTTACTCTTCATATATCGTCGTCTTATACCCCCCTCTCTCTCTCTCTCTCTCTCTCTCTCTCTCTCTCTCTCTCTGTTTCTCTCACTCACTCTCTCCCTATCTCGCACTCTTCATGCTATTCTTTTGTCTACTGTCCAGTCGTCTCACTCTCACTCTTCCAATACCAAATGCTCCCTACCTCTTTCTCTCTCTCCCTCTCTCTCTCTCTCTCCCTCTCTCTCTCTCTCTCACTCTCTCTCTCTTACTCTCACTGCTGTTTGCCCTTCTTTCTGTCTCTTTTACCTTTTCGTGTCCGCATTTCCTTCTTTTTCTCTTCCCCACTCTGTGTTTCTCTATTTGGACGCTTCGATGACGCACAATGAGTCTACATTTGATTGAAAAAAATCAGATGGAACGATATAAATGATGTCACGTTTAAGTAACTTGAAATTGCTTTCAGAAAACGAAAGAACACCGGAATAAGCGAGACACATTTTCATAAACAAACTAAACATGCAATTCTTAATAATGACTGTAGCGGCAGTCGAAAGTAAAAAGAAAAGAACTTTGGGTACCTTACCAACCGGAAGTTGAAAAACTTAGTAAAAAAACGGGAAAGGCAGACCTTGTCGGCATTGTTTAACAAAATCTGTTAAAAAGAAGTTTTGCTACTTAAATACAACAATTTTTTAACCATTTCACTCCAAGAAAGGCAATAAAGCCACTAAGACGCAAGGGAGGGTTGTGAGAGAAAATGAGTAAAATCATTATTAAGGTGAGAGGTCAATAAAAAAAACAGGAATTAAGAAAACAGAAGGTAACAATTGACATTACATTTAAATTTTTGTTCGGTGGAAGACAAGAAGACGAAAAAAAGTTTCACAAGTGAGAAGTGCTGGAGAAAAAAACTGTTAGCATAGATCTTACGGCTACTTTTAGCCATTTCAACTGTAAAATGATGAGACCTTGCCGCCAATCAAGTACTGCGCTTAAATTCATAAACTAAAATTTATATACACTATACAAACACGCACACTATATATATATATATATATATATATATATATATATAAAGTATGTGTTTTTATAATTTATATAAATTTGATTCTATTAATTACTATCTTTCCCCTCCCGCTCTAATTTCAACAATGTCTATTACACTATCTCTCACCCCTCTCTATATCATCTTACATCGGCTGAATACTACCCCCCAAAATTGGAAATTTAAATTCAATTTTTTCATCCATAGAAGTGACTTCTGATGATCCAGGGAACAACAAAACCCCTGAGAAAATAAATTATAACCTTATGGAACCTTAAAGCTGTCAGATTTTCTTTAAATTAAATTATTCACTCTAATTTAACATTGAGCTCTCTGGATTTCATACTCATATGGATTACAAAGATTTTCATTACTCAACTATACATATTTTTCTTTACTCAACTATATATATATATATAGATACAAATATTTAAGTAAATGATCTGTTTATAATAAACAGTATTAAATAACATTTACCGGCCTGAATGTCCGAGAAATTTTCATAGAAAATATTCGTCCTCCGACAGGATTCGAACCTCTATCCTATACGGAACTGTCATATAGCCTGATGTGCTTTTACCTATTGAGCCACAGAGGATCGATCGGTTAGCAAGGTCGAATTTACTGCTTTTAAACTTCATTCTTCCATGATTCTCTCACGTACATTCATATCTGCTCATGACGTATCAAATGTAAACAAATGACGTCACACATTATGAAATGGACAAATTCCGACAATTATTTTAAGACATTTTTATGTTTATACATACTTTTTATAGATACAAATATTTAAGTAAATGCTCTGTTTATAATAAACAGTATTAAACAACATTTACCGGCTTGAATGTCCGAGAAATTTTCACAGAAAATATTCGTCCTCCGACAGCATTCGAACCTGTATCCTCTACGGAACCGTCATGTAGCTTGACGTGCCTTTACCGATTTGGCCACAGAGGATCGATCGGTTAGCAAGGTCGAATTTACTGTATTTAAACTTGAATCTTCCATGATTCTCTCACGTACATTCATATCTGCTCATGACGTATCAAATGTAAACAAATGACGTCACACATTATGAAATGGACAAAGTCCGACAATTGTTTTAAAACTTTTTTATGTTTTAAGATTCTTTTTATAGATACAAATATTTAAGTAAATGCTCGGTTTTGGAGGACGAATATTTTCTATGAAAATTTCTCGGACATTCAAGCCGGTAACTGTTGTTTAATAACGTTTATTATAAACAGAGAATTTACTTAAATATTTGTATCTATAAAAAGAAGGTATAAACATAAAAAAGTATGATTCTAAGTTTTATTCCGTCAATCTCAACTCCGATATATTCATTATCTATAAAAGATGCATGCATTGCTAGAATCCAAACTGAAAATATTTGTGCATAGCTTCATCTGAAGAGAATATACTGGAAGAAATAAATTCTTTATTGCGAACATCTTGAAGCTAGAATGAGCAATTGGCTTACCTCAATGACACTTTATAAAGTATACACCCCGTGATTTTACTCTATAACACCTGTGTTCATATTACAAATATGACACAGCAATGTTTCATGCAGCTGAGATCTTCTACATGTTGCATATTCTGAAGACCTTTCCCCTTTATCCCTTGTTTTACTCCAAGCAACGCTCTTTGACCGGCCAGCTGTTCCAGTAATTTCAAGATGTAGAAAAAAAATTCTTTAGAGAATTCTTCAAATAAAAAATCTGATGTAGGGTTTTTGTATAACATCCGCTAACCTTCCCCTTACAGTCAGTAAGTAGCCCCGCAAGATTCCCATCTTTCTCCCAAATTTCTTGTTGAAAGGAAAGAGCTTTCAAACTGTGGACGAGATTAAGGAGAATGTGACGAAGCAGCTGATGGTGTAACCAGAAGAGGAATTGGCCAATCTTTTTGGGGGAAAAAAAACAAACGTGGAAGTGATGCTGATATAAGTGTGTTAAGCCTCAAGTGAAGTACTTTGAAAGAGACCTAAGGAGCCGTTACGCTGTGTACGTTACATTTTTTTCTTACATTAACAATAAAAGGCTGGTAGCTTTTCAAACAGACCTCGTATATATTGTCGCGTTATTGCTGGCTTATTCCCAAGTAGCTTTCACACATCCTTATTTAGACGATTAGTGCTAATAGTTTGGCGAGTGGCTGTTAATAATGCTAAGCACATAAACTCTACAATGTCTCTGTCGTCATCAACAAGGCATTTGTCACACTTGGATTCTGACACTGACACTTCCTGACACGACGCCATTACTAGCGAGATACATTCCTCGAAAATTTGCCATAGGCTTTTTTACTTCTTCTTCAAGTAGTAAAATATATCAGTTCAGAATACACACATATTTCTGTATATGCAAAGCATAAACACTTTTTTTTTTATATACATATATTATCCGGACAGATAATGCTAAAATAATATTAACTCTTTCTTTATCTGGAAACGTTCGATATTCATTGACCGATCAGCCAGCGCTATTATCGACTGAAATTTGAAACAATTTTTTAAACAATCTTTCAAAAAAATAATTTAGTTTCTCTTGTCCACTTTTATCGCTATTTCCAGTACTAATCGGGGGTTTCCTTCCTAACCGTTTGTCTGAAATAGTGTGAAACGGTAACATTTTGATTAAGTAATTCTTTTCTCTTCTCATACGATGCTATTCATTTTCGTTGTTGCTGCTGTTGGAATTTTTTTTAAGTGATGTGATTTCTATTATTTGGTTAAGTTCTTTGCCTGTGATTCTGTAGCGCCAGTTCCCAAGGTTCGATAAAGATGTTCTTCACTAAGACTTTCATACTTCATTCGGTATAAGTAATTTTTAATTATTTATCTAAGAAAGCTGTTCTATACAGTCGACAGTTTAAACATTTCTGAACAGGTGAGTCAGCATGCATGGCATCCATATTAAATGATTAATCTGACGAGGCTACTTAAACAACATGGTTCAGGTCTTTAAGCTGATTTTTTTGATTTTGTACCAACTTGCGGTATTGGGCAAAACTACCTCTGCCTCAGCCCATTCTATGTTCAGTTTTCTTTTCTCTTATACTAAGTTTATTACAACTGATCCATACACCAAGATATTTGCGTCCTGGGGATGACGATAAACTACATCCGCGTCCTGGGTAAGACGATAAACTACGTCCAACAGCAAGGCCTCTAATCAGGAAGTTTTGAAGAGCATGGAACCACTTCTTAATTGCTGGTGTTCCCAGGTCCACCCTGACTCAGGGTGGTAGCACCTGTTAGGGTCCCAGCTATGGGCAAATAGCCAAACTCTAAACTGGGGTCAAAAGTGTAAAAATAGTTTTTAATACCAGGAATACATTTTTGTAAAAAAAAAAATTACCAGCAATAAATTTTCGAAGTATTACTGATAATATTACCAGTAATACTTTTAGCGAAAAATATTCCCAACAATACATTTTTGAAAAAAATACTACCAGCAATAAAAATCTTGTCGGCATTAAATAACCCATTGAGGTTGATTTGCTTTAAAACAGACCAAACCAAACCGAGATATTAGAAGTGTTTTATACTGAGATAATCATATGTTGAAGACTTGATTGTTTTATATGTTTTTTACAGTTTATCAACCGTTTGCAGGTCATTCAAAACCAGAAAATATTTTTAGATTGCAAGATTTTTTTTCTTATTTAATAATGGTTTAGTGATACAAGTTTTACTACTTAACCCATAGCTGTGGGGAAAAAAGTAGACTTAATACCTTTCACAAGCGTATTTGCGCGTAACTGAACCTAACGGGAATTGAAAACTGGCTGTCCTATTAACAATTCCGAAGAATTATCGATTACATCAGCCAAGTGGTCACCCATCTAGGTACTGGCCAGGCTCGATGTTGCTTAATTTCGGTGATCATATGGCAACCGGTGTTTCAACGAACTGTCGGCGTTATCTGTAATGGTGTATGCATTCGATAGATAACAATTATAAAAATATCAAACAGTGATCAATTAATGTTTTTTTAAGTTCGAAACTCCGACAATCGTAAATCGTAAATATTTGCATTCTTCTTCTTTTATGCACCGTGTCCTTTGGGGCGATCATGGCTCTCTACAACTTCCTGTTTTTTTTTTTTTTTTTTTGTTCTTTTTTGTTCCTTTTGATTCGTTACCTCTTTCTTTCTCCCTAGCTGCCTTTCCCGAATTCCTTCTGGTCACAAATGCATCTTCATCTTCAGGATTTTTTTCACATCTCCACTTGCACCTGTCTTATTTCCGATGTTTATATAACAAGAACGTTGATAAACACATTCAGATAAAACAATATCTTCAATATGAACATCCCATATCAGCTCCCATAAGCCCTTTACGTAAACAAGTCCTTTACAGAAACATACCGTCCTTTCGCAAAATCATATCAGATATGTGCCATTCGCGATACATTACTGACGATGAAGATTTTTTTTCCCGCAGTAGGTTGCCATTTCTTTGTGCGATAGTCCAGTTGCCACTCGCTTTGTATTGCTATAGCTGGGGGAGAAGAAGGGAATTCATATTTTTCCCAAGGGTATTAGCGCGTAACTGAATGTAATGAATTCGATTGGAATTCGAACTCGGCTCTCCGATTTCTCATTAACTCATGAACTGCATTGGCTACCTCACACGTAAAACTATAAAAAGAAACCAAATAAATACAAGATGAATACAAAACCAATTGTATATTAATGGACAGATACAAGCTCTTCAGACTTGGCTGGCAATATATTTAGAGATGATGACTATAAAAACTCCCATCCACCAGCAGCCTGGGCTATATGCTAGTCTCTGTAGACCAGTAAAAAACGTATAATAACTGAAATTCTTAAATAAATCTGCCGCAGGCGGAGATAGTCTCAGTCAGTTATGTGCCATGCGTGATACATGACAAAGCAGATTTTTTCCCGCAGTAGGTTGCCATTTCTTTGTGCGGTAAACCAGTTGCCAAGGCTACAGAAACTGGTCTGTTTACCCATAGCTGGTGAGAGAAGAAAAGGGTTCCCAATGTAATGGATTCGACTGGAATTCGAACTCAGCTCTCCGATTCCGCGACGTTATCCATTACTCCACCTCCTGTAGTAATTTATAAATGTGTTTAATTAATTCATCATTATTTTTATTATAAACTTTATTTTAGTGAGAAAGCGTTTTTGAGTTAACATTCTTGTTTCTTTTTTTTTTCTTGACAATGAATTTAATTTCAATCAGATTAGATCGAGAAGTCTTGCTAAAGAACAAAAACGTACCGAACGACAGGAATGAAACCATTATTCCCTGTGGGATATTTAAAATTCATTTAAAAATTACTCTAACGTTTCGACTTGGAAAACGAATCCAACAGATAAAGATTCGAAGAAATCCCAACGCGAGATGTGCGTCGTATTAAATTTGTAATTTTACTTTGGCTGAAATACAAGATGGAAAAATAGATTGAGGGATTGGAGAGCCGAGTTCGAATTCCAGTCGAATCTATTACATTCACTTACGTGCTAATAGCCTTGGGGGAGGTATGAATCCTCTTCTTCTCACCCCAGCTATGGTTAAATAGCAGGACACACCGGGTTCTATAGCCTTGGATAGCAACTGGTCTACCGCAGAAAGAAATGGCGGGAAAAAATCAACCTCGTCAGTCATGTATCGAAAGATACATGATCGCCTAAGCGTGTATCACGCATGGCACATAACTGACTAACTGACTTTAATTTGTCATGATGGTTTCCCATTATAAAATTGGTAACGATTCGCTTCGTTGTAAAAATGGTTTCCCCGTGTAAAATAGGATGCTTATTTCATCAGAGTATCGTAAAATTCCCCAGAATAAGGGCACGTTTGTTCAGGGGGGGGGCTCTTATAAAAAGAAAATGTCTTCGCTTTGAGTGGTTATAACAGGTAAGGTGTTTATTCACGAATATACGATAGAAAGAAACTTTCAATAGAACTTTTTTTGTGATCGTTTCACTCCAACCAAGGCAATAAAGCGACTAAGATGCAAGGGAATACTGAATGTGAGAGAATGATAAAAACAAACACTATTCAGGAGAGAGGACAATAAAAGAACAGGAATGAAGACGACAGAATGATTCTTCATCTTCTTTACAACGTAATGTCTTTTGGTTTAAAACATTGTCGAAATACTTGAAAACTTAGCAATCAGTAGGTGAAAGATCAGACGAATATGGTGGATGTGGCAATGTCTTGTATCTGCAATAGATGGGAATTGTCATGAAGCCGAATTGAACCACATCGATTAACCAGTACTGGTTGCTTTCTTAACTGAATGTGCATTTGATCCATTTGTTGACAGTAAACTTCGGTTGTGATGCTCTGGTCAGATTTCTGTAATCTGTAATGAATAACGCCAATGGCGGACCTCCAGACAGTAAACCGGGATTTTCTATTGGTGCAATTTCGGTTTTGGAAAGTGTTTGTGTGCTTTGTCATTGAGGTGATCGTTTACGATTGTCCTAAACCAGTGGTTTTCAACCAGGGTTCTGCAGAACCCTTGCGTTCCGCCAGTAAAGCCAAGGTGTTCCGCAAGAAGTTACACAAGTACTATGATTGACAGTAATTTTTAATTCTCCTGTGCAGATATGTGTTTGTGTCTGTCAAAAATACGACCCAATATTAAAGATTTGTACAAGAAACATCAGGCTCAAGTTTCTCATTGAATTTTTAATGAAAATAAATGTAATCCATTTAAACTGAAGTTTTTTTAATACATGTGTAATAACCGTAGAAGCAAGATTAAAATTGCATATGTACGTACACAATATTTTTACAGTTTGTCTTTGTATTTTTTTTGTAAATAAATCTGACGATGAGTATTTTTATTTTATTTTAATAATTGAAACCTTTTTTTTTTTTTTTTTGCATAAGACAATTAATTTATTGCAGGGGTTCATCGAGCCACTGGTATGTTTCCTTGTGGTTCCGCTCCAGCAAAAAGGTTGAAAACCACTGTCATAAAGTCGCTATTTGGTCAAGAGATAGATCATTCAAATTTCGCAGGTGCCACATCGAACAAACATCAAATGGTCGAACTATTTCACTTTTACAGAGTACATGTGGAACCCTCTTATCGAGTTTCTTCGCCTTGCCAATTTTCTTGAGACAGTCTGATATTGCAGAAATTCTGACGCTTTCACGGGTTTTTTTTTTACTACTATTTTCAGATGTTGATTGTCAATTGCAGAAGAAAGTCCTCTATCATCGTGATCATTAAGACTCGTATTCCCACTGCGGAACTTCAGAAACCAACGCCGCTCTGTCAGATCGCAAGTAGATCCTTCACTCTATGCTCTTTTAATGTTAGAAGAATTATGACCAAGTCATGCCTTAATGTTAGAAGAATTATGACCAACTCATGCAAAAAATGTAAACGCATCTCTTCGTTTTTCACGTTCAAGATGTGAGATATATAATATTTTAAGTTAAATCCTGAAAGGTTTGGTTTGGTTTGGTTTATCTTGTTTAACGGCATATCAACCTCAATGGGTTATTTAATGCCGACAACATTTTTAGGATAGATTCGTACGATTAGAATATGTATTCTTTTGTTTAGATTGGTTTGGTTTATTTTGTTTTACGGCATATCAACCTCAATGGGTTATTTAATGCTGATAAAAAATTTATTGCTGGTAATATTTTGTTTTGTCAAAAATCTGTTTCTGGTAATATATTTCCTTCAAAATTGCATTGCTGGGAATAGTTTTTTCAAAAAAGTATTGCTGGTAATAGTTAACTATTTGCCCATAGCTGAGACCCTAACAGGTGCTACCACCCCGAGTCAGGGTTAAAATCCTGAAAGAGAGGAATATAAAATTATCAAACTGAACACATTTATCATTAGGAATGAGTAATATACTTTTATAGAATGTATCAGATCAGAACTAAAATGTTTATTCTAACATTTGACATTATTTTCCAAAAAAACTAATAGCATTAAGAAATAATATTGGATTAAAACGTATCTATTTAAAAATTACGAGATTTACGTTTTGGATGCGAAAATGAAGCTAGAATATATTGATTCAAACAGGTCCCAAGAAGAGATTTTCTTTCTTTAAACAGGTAATTGAGCTACGCTTTGTCATGATGACATTCCGTGGCCAAATTGGTAACGTCACGCTTCGGCTATGCTATGAAAAGATTCGTGACGAGAAGCACATTTTTCTTTAGTAGGACTTCTTGATTTAGTCCGGTTGATATTAATTCTCCTGATTAAGAAAATAATAAAATCTCAACTCAAACACCTGTACCCACTAAAATAACGTTTATATACACTGGGTGTAACAGCAAAATTGTCCAAATTGTGTAAAAGTAAAATTGCATCTTAGAAATGATTAATATCATATTATATTACTGGAATTCTCTAAGGTTTTTATAACACTATTGGAGTCTACTTTGAGCAATAACAATGTATAATTACTCTCCAAGCTTAACAGAAGAATCGTGATGAAATCGATGATAAACGAATATGACATGTTCATAATTAATTAATCATAGTTAAGAGTCGGAATCTCATAAAGTATTGGAATTATGTTCATATATATATATATATATATATATATATATATATATATATATATATATATAATTTCAGTATCATTTTATAACTTATTAAAAATAAGCTTCGGCTTCTCTAACCCTCTAACTTAGAACAGCAAGGTGCCTCATACGTTTCACTTACGAATTCATTTTCAAGTCTTTTTTCACTGCTCTTTGGACTGTTATAGGTGAGACTTCTCTATCACGTGTCAAAGGTCTGATGGATTGAGTTGGATCTTTTCTAATTGATCTCTGTAGCTCTAAGTCGAAATGATGATGTTTCTTCCTATTGTGGCCTCCTGATCCAATTTTCCTCTCTACTGTTCCTTTTTCTAAAAATATTCACCGTTCTCTT